ATAATAATAATAATAATAATGTATTTATTTAAACATTCATAATTGCCAGTGGATCTTGTCTAGCAAGAGGAAAATGCATAAGTCCTCGCAATCCTCGAAATGCATCTCCTTGCAATATTCAGTGGACAAGTTAACCCGTTTTTAATTGATCACCCTATATAAGGACAATGGTTGTGTTTGCCGAGTAAAATCTAGATCCAGAATCTTTCATCGTCTTTGACGATCATCCTGTCGCGATGTTACATGATTTATTAAGGTATGATTCTTCTCGAAGTGCAGTAAAGCTTCTCACAATGTCCACCAACAAGGAGCCTAAACAGGACAGTTTGAGAAGCGGAGACATTGTTTTGGAGCCTCGCAGTCCGCTTTTCTAGTTTGCCGAACGAAGATAAGGACAACGAATAAAAGAGAAGGATGAAAACCAAGCGATTTAAACACCAACGTTTCCATTTTTAACTTTTTTTGTATGAAAAAATTAATAACATATTGAAGAGATTGTTCTGATCAAAATGAGACCAAACACGATGTAATTGGACCAACATGTACTTATTAATACTTATTGAATGATTAATTTCATTTCATAATATGTATATCGCTTTGGATGAATTACAAAAACGAATTGCTAGAAAAATACATTAAATATCTGTACACATTGTCCGTCGAATGTGGAGGGAGAGACACGGTTTGGTGGACACTGCTTTTAATTCGTAATCATTTCAGAGCAAGTAGTGAGTGGGGATGTGTGCAGATAGAACGAGTAGGTACTTCGTATAAGTAGGACTTTTGCCCAGCATTCGGCCAGTTAGACAGTGTCCGTGATTGTGAATACGTGTATGGGGTATGTTCCTTTCACTTTCTGTGTTTGTCAATCAAGGTTAAAAATGTTACTTGTTGCGTACACTTACTGCGTGCCTATGTAAACGTCTCACTCACGACATATTGCAAATTCCTTCGTCTGCAAGAATTAAAAAATATGTTTATAACAGTAATTAAAGAATATTTTTATAATAGTAGTTTAAAAAATGTAAGAAACGCGAAACTTAGACGATGAAGTGGTGACCTGGTCTTCGTCATCCAGAATCACAGGAAGGGAGAGCACACGGATACTTGAGGGTTTTACAGATTAAGCCCTTTCCTATAAAGGACAGTTTGACATATAGAATGCGGAAAAACACTCTGGTTACAACCGTCGAACTAGACGGACACCCGAAACAGCGCAGTAATAATCAACGATTTATAAACTTATATAATACGTATACTTTTGTTAACACCGAACTTTATAGTTTTCTTTATTTGTATTGACTTACAAAAATGTCATTAATTTTTAAAAAGTCATAGTGTATGTAAGATAAGATGAATAAAGAAAAACTGTAACGTTCCGTATTAACGAAAGTATATGTGTTATATAAATTTATGAATCGTTGTTTATTACATACTACACTGTCCCTGGTGTCCGTCTAGTTCGACGGTTGTAACCAGAGTGTTTTTCTGCATTCTACATAATGTCTGCGTCGCTGCGAAACCGTTGGAGCCTTCCAGTCCAAACTGTCCTCTATAGGAAAGGGCTTTAATTTATGATACCCTCAAGTATCCGTGTGCTTTCCTTTCCTATGACCCTGAGTGACGAAAACCATTGCACCATTCCATCGTTCAAGTCTCACATTTCTTACATGTACCCTTATTGTTTATGTTTTATTAGTTTTTTTTTCTTTTTATATAAATATATGTAGTTTCTCTTAGTATTTATAAACTTTGAGAAACTGACTTTCTTATTG